GCCAGCCAGCCCTGCTCCCTGGTGGGCTGAGCTGGCCACACATACACACAATAAATAAATGTAATAAATAAAAAAAATAAATAAATAATTTTAAAAAAAATAAAAAAATAAAAAAAGAAGACCTCTAATCACAGAATTTCAGTACTGGGCTGGGGAGATAGCACAGCGGTCTAAGCACCTGCCTGGCAAGCCCAAAGACCCGGGTTCGATCCCCAGTACCTCATGCCATGGTGCCAACCTGGGCTGTGCTGGCCACCAAAACTGGGCGTGGTGACGCACGCCTGTAATCCCAGCACTAGGGGGGGCTGAGACAGGAGGATCACTACAAGTTGGAGCTGCATAGCAAGACCCTGTACCAAATAAATAAAGATTAAAAAAAAAAAGAATTGCAAAGTACCAGGCAATTTTTTGATCCAGGTTTTCTCATTGCCACAATACTGACATTGTGGGCCGGATGAGTCCTCGGTGTGCCAGTGTGTACGTGCCCTCCTTAAGAGAACCCCAATCCCTACTCACTAGATTCCCACAGCACTCCCAGTGTGACGATCAAAAATGCCTCCAGATATGGCCATATGTAAATTTAAACTAGCCTCAATTGAGAATTACTGATCTAACCAAATTGCCTAAGGATTAATCACACCAATTTAAAATTTTTTAAATTAAGTTTATTGGTGTATATTTTAGGTAAGCATCATGATCACACTCATCATAGGGAAAGTGTCCCTGCACTTGATTCTTGTGTGCCTGTAACTTCATCTTTCTTGTTTTTGTACTCCCCTCCCCTCCCTTCTGCCCTTCTTCCCCTCCTTATTTATACACACTTCGTCTCCAGGTTTTCCTTTTCCCTTCCTTCTTCTCCCCTCCTCCTTCCCTAGTGCCCTTTCCCATTTGAACATTTTCTTCCTATTTCACAGTATCTGGTATACACTTTGGTCCTTATATACACTTTCAGTTTCTCACACCAGATTTATGTCACTTATAAGTTTGGCCTCAAGGTGCATCCATTTAGCTCGAAATGTCTCAAGTTTATCCTTCTATGGAGCAGAGTAAGTACTCCATTGATTAAAAACCCCACATCTCTGTCCATTCTTCAGTTGATGGGCATTTGGGCTGCTTCTAAGATTTAGTATTACAAACTGTGCTGCTATAAACATGGGTGTGCATTTATAGCAATCCCTCCAATTTAAAAAGCCTCAAATGACAGGAATTCAGTTTTACCTCAATGGCCTATTTTTTCCAATAGTTATGTAGACTGTTTCTACTGATACTAATGGCATGTTAATCATATATATTTATATGTCTAATTAGAGAAATGCAAATCAAAACAATGAGATATTTCACTCCAGTTAAAATGGTTATTATCAAAGACAGAAACGGGCTGGGCATGGTGGCGCACATCTGTAATCCCAGCACTAGGGAGGGTGAGGTAGGAGGATTGTTGTGAGTTCGAGACCAGCCTGAGCTACAAAGTGAGCTAAAGACCAGCCTGGATCATGTAGCGAGACCCTATCCTAAACAGACAAAAAAAAAAAAAAAAAAAAAAAAAAAAGACAGAAACATTCAATATGCGCAATTTTTTTTGGTAAGTTTTGTTTTTAGAATCAGTTAAAATACAAAGAAATTTAAAATATAGGCAGGTGATATAGCTCAGTGGTATAAGTGCCTGCTTGTCAAGTGCAAGGTCATGAATTCAGTACCAAAAAAAGGAAAAAGAAAAAAATGCTGGAAAGGATACAGAAAAAAGGGAATTTGCATACAATGTTTGTGGGAATATGAACTACTACAGCCATTATGGAAAACAGTAGGCAGTTTTCCTCAAAACAAACCCCCCCCAAACAGTACCACATGATCCAGCAACCTTACTAGCTAGCTATCTGTGATACTAGCCTTTTTCTTTTCTTTTTTTTTTTTTTTAATGTATTTGGTATAGCGTCTCACTATGCAGCTCAGACTCATAGTGACTCTCATGTTTTCAGCCTCCCTAGCACTGGATTACATGCATGCGCCACCACACTCAGACTCGGCCCCTGGTGTGGCATGCAGAACCAGGGATCGAACCCTGGTCCCTGTGCTTGCCAAAGCAAGTGCTTAGTCTGCTGAGCTATCTTGTTGGCCCTTAGTCTTTTCTTAATTCTGGCACTGGGATTGAACTCAGAACCTTGTGCTTACTAGGCAGGCGCTTATGACACTGAGCTCTTTCCCCACTCCCATGACATTCATCTTTTTTTTTTCTTTCAGAATTGGGGATTGAACTCAGGCCCTTGCACTTGCCAGGGAAGTGCTTATTCCACTGAGCCATCTCCCCAGCCCCTACTATAAATATTATGTATGAATTTTTAAAACATAGATTGCAGAAACCACTGTGCTAGGCCTGATTCTAGGTGCTAAGAATATAGCAGTAAATAAAAAATGAAATTTGAAGCTTACAATCTAATGGTATAAGAAAAACAATACACAGATAAATAAGTAAACGATACAGAGTACTACAGGATAAAGAGTAAGCACAAGATTTAAGCAGAGAAGGGACAGAGACTATTAAGAGTTTTGAGAGGTGTCAGAGTTCACACAGTTACCAGCACAGAACACACTTACACACAGAACACAGCAGGAGTGGGCAGGGAGGAGGCCATGGTGGCTGCAGCAGTGTGAGTGAAGAGAGTAACAGCAGGCCCAGGTCATGCTGAGCTCAGCCATAAGCACTCCAACTTTTACTCAAGTGACATGGGAAGCAACTGGAGAGCTTTCAACAGAGGAGCGACCTGTCACACTCACTGCTGTACTGAACTCAGCCTGAAGGGGGCAAAACAGGAAGCAGGAGAGCCACTGGAGGCTCTGAAGATAATCTAGGCAAGATCTGCCAGTGATTGGGCCTCAGGCAGTGGCAAGAGAGAGAACAGTAGTCCCCCACCCCACTCTCAATTTCATGTTCTGTAGTTTCCATTACCTGAGGTCCAAAGTGGCCCAAAAACATTAAACAGAAAATGCCATAAATAAGCAACTCATCTTTTAAATAACTTTTATTATAATATATTGTTATAACTGATAATTGTTCTACTTTATTGGTTATTATTGCTAATCCCTTATTGTGCCTAATCTGCAAATTAAATTTTATCATTTGTACAGGGAAAGCATACCATATGCAGTTTGCTACTATTTGCAATTTCAGGCATCCACCAGGGGACCCTGGACTACAAGCCCGATGGGTAAGAGGGGCTACCATAGTGGAATTCTGGGTAAATAGGAAGAAAGAGGTAATAGGATTTGCTCTGGGATCAGAGGTGGGGTCAGGGAGTAAGGATAACTACTGATGCATTTAGTAAAATGAGAAGACTACAGGAAGAGTGGTCCTTTATTGTGAATTAGCAACTTTCCTAGGCATTTTGCTAGGGTTCTGGGGATGCAGAGATTTTTTTTAAAAAAGCATCTCTGACTTAAGGAGCATACTAAGACTAAAGAGTCTAAGGTAAAATAAGCACCAACACTATTTCAGGCAGAATACAGTCACTGTAGGGGAATTAACTTACTACTAAATGGCTTGGTGCTGTCACAGAACCACAGCTTGGTGTGGGAGGACACTCATGCCGTAACGTTCTGCCTACACAACGGCAACAACTGGCAGAAGCAGGTTTCAGAAAAGACAAAATTCATTCTTGGTAAACACAGAAGCCGCTGGACACAAGCAGAAGGGCAGACATACTAGCCTTCAGTGGCCTACTGGTGACAGATCCCAACCTGCCCCCTCTGCCCTCCCTTTCAATCACATGGTCGGTTGGTCTGGCTATCAGTGCTCAACTAGCAGACACTCAGATCTGACCAAATTCCAATGATTTGAGGAGCTAAGCTTGACAGCAGGGGCAAAATGCATGATATATATGTATGTACGGACAGCTCAAGGGAAAAAAAAATTAACTGATTAGAAGTTGGGCAAAACAATTGAAGAGCCATTTCTGCAAGGATGACACACAAATGGCAGCAACCACACGAAGGGATGTTCAGCATCAGAAAAACAAAAATCAAAACCAGAATGACGTCACACCTCATACCCATTTGGATGGCTGCTATCACTGAGCAGAAAATAACAAGTGCTGGTAAGGAAGGGGAGAAACTGGAGCCCCTTTACTACTGCTAGAATTACAGTGTTAGTACACTGCTGTGGAAACAGCATGAAGGGTGCCCCCAAAACTAAGCAGAAGTCCGTATCACCCAGCAATCCCATTTCCGGTACATACCCAAAGGAATTCAAAGCAGGTTCTCAAAGAGATATCTGCACACCCATTTTCATAGCAGCATTATTCGCAAAGGCCAAGAGGGAGAAGCAACTCAAGTGTTCAGATGAGTCAACAAATACAGTGAGATATATACATACTAAAGATTATTATCCAGCCATAAAATAAATGGGTTTTTTTTTTGTTCTTTTTTTCTTTTCATAAGAGTCTAGCTATGTAGTTCAGGCTGGCCTTGAACTATGTGGACCAGGTTGGCCTCAAACTCACGACAATCTTCCTGCCTCAGCCTCCCTAGTGCTGCGAGTACAGGTGTGCACCACCACACCCAGTATGTATTTTTTAAAAGGAATTATATGTCAAATGCTATGACATGGATGAACCTTGAATATTTCATATTAAGTGAAATGAGCCAGTCACAGAAAAAACAAATACTATACTATATGATTGTATGTATACAAGCTATCTAAAGTAAAATCCTTAAAGACAGAAAGTAGTAGAGTGGTTACCAGTGCCTGGGCAAGGAGAAAATATAATTTTTTTTAAGGAGGATAGAATCAGGTTTGCAGATGAAAGTTCTGGAGATCTGCTTCAAACGAATTAACACTACTGAGTTTTAAATGATTAAGACAGTAGATTTTACATATGAAAAAAATGCAACTGAAAACTATACTCTTTGTAGCATGCGTGGTACTAAAATAATCTCTTACAGGATAATATGAACCAAAAGATAAATATTAAAATAAAATATATTTTATGCCTAGAAAACCTTATTACCTGCCACAAATCCAACTACCAGATCTTTTCCAGTAGTAGAACGTTGACCTTTGACCCAGACTGCTTTGAGGCTATTAAAAGTGTAGAAATAGACAAAATTGGAGCAGCAGAGACTGGAAATAACTGGAAACCACCCTCGGTACGGTGCCAGGCTAGAGAAGAAACACAAGAAACAAAGTGATGGTCATGGACAACAGCTGTTAGAAACTGCCAGAGAAGCCCCGGGAAAGGCTGGCCGGCCGTTCTGGGGTCGCCTCTGTACTATAATGGACTCCCAAGTCACAAGCACACTTCACATTCTTTTTTCTTTTCGCTATACTGGAGATTGTGAGACAGAAGGATCAGTAGTTTCAGGTGATCAAGAGTTTGAGGCCAGCCTAGACTACATAGTGAGAGCCTGTCACAGACAGATGGACGTACGACAGACAGACAAGAAGAGGGACAGGGACGGGAGGAGGAAGGAAAGGGAGGGAAGAGAAAAAAGGGAGGAGAGGGGAGAGCATCTGACAGGAATGTACTAAACTTATCTTAAAACAAAGCACTGGTTTTCTGGAAGACTCCATAATAAAGAATTAAAGGGCTAAACACAAGATTTTAAAGGAACTGAAAACAATTATGTTCTTAGGGTCAGGCAGTTACAAATTTACACCATTAGGAAGCTATGCGACAGAGAGTGAGCTTAGGTGCCCTGGAGGCTCAGGAATCTCCTAATGAGAGGCTCTGTCCAGCACAGTTGTGAGAGGAGGTGGTACTTACAGGCCTTCCTCTTTAATGATCTCCAGCAGCACCATGTGTGTAGTTTTGGACTTTCTTTTCTCATCAACTACAAGACCAAATAAGACATTTTAACTTAGAGAATTATTTTTTCCAGCATCAACAAATTTCACTGAAATGTCATTTACCTCACTTGCATGATCTCTTACCCTAATTTTTTTAGCTAGCTAAACTGCCTCAGATTTTCTTGTGCTAAATTCCCAACTATCAATTGCTTGGAGTTCACTTATTCTGGAAAGATTGTAGTTAAACTTCTAGTTTCCAAAATAAAGCAGAAACTTATTTCTTATAATTTATTTATTTTTGAGACAAGGTCTTGCTGTATATAGTTCAGGCTGGACTTGAGTTCACTGTATAGTCCAGGCTGACCTCAAACTTGCGATCCTCTTGCCTCAGCATCCTGCGTGCTGGGTTCATGTTTTTTAAAGTAATATATATTCATAGTTTTATCCTAATACCTAAAACACAAAGAAAATTAATTACTATCTTTCTTTTACAAAAGAGGCTACAGACACAAAAGCAGTCAGTCTTAAAACTCAAATTTCAGCCCATAACCCAACACATTAGGAAATAGGTAAGAGGATCACAAGACTGAGCCCCGCCTGGACAACTTAGTGAGATTCTGTCTTGAAACTCAAATAATAATAATAATAATAATAATAATAATAATAATAGTAGCTGGGACCTGGATTCAATTCCCAGTATCACCAAATCAAAGTGAAACAACAACAAGAACAAAAATCTTTAAATATCAAGTGTTTGGCCTTGACCTCTATTCCTAAAACAGGGCAGAAGGATGAAAACTATTTCTCACTGAAAACAAAACCTATCCCAATTAACTTCCAAAGTCCTTCCCACAATTGGAAAGTAATTTGAGAACAAAAAATACGAAAATTAACCAACTTCCTAGGAAGTATGTGGGTACCAGTGTGGCTTGTGAGATGGCAAATCAGTAAACCCCCAGGGAAGGCAGTCTGGCAGTAACTATCAAAATGAACTACAGGAGCCGGGGAGATGGCTCAGTAGAATAAGTGCTTGCCTGGCAGACACAAAGTGGTGTGAGAACAAATCCATACTTACATTCTATCTGTAATAACAAAACAGTGAAAACAGCTGAAAGGCGCACAGCAGGGGAAGGAGAAATAGGTTCAACACTGGGGAAAACCCTACAGCTGTAAGGCAGGATATGCTGAATGAAAGACATCTAAAACATGCTATTAAGCTTAAAATGCAAAGTGCCAACAGTGTGTAAAACAAACTTTTTGTTTAAATAAAGGAGAAAACTAAGAATATATGTTATTTGCTGGTATTTCATAAGAAAGTCTGCAAGGCTACTCAGGAAAAATAGGAAAGGCGGATCTCCCCTCAGTCTCTCCCAGGATGTTGGGCCCCAAACAGTGCAGCTCCCTCCCTTCCGCATCCCCTTCCCTCTTCCCTTCCCTTCTCCCTTTTCTCTTTTATCTTCTCCCTTCTCCCTCTTGTGCTGGGGACTGAGCCTAAGACCTCACGCATGCTAAGCAATGCTTCTATCACTGAGCTAACATCCCCAGCTCCCTAGCCCTACCCCCTTTTTTCAGTTTAAAAAGATGGGACATTTGGGAAGCAGAGGCAGGAGGCCAGCCTGGGCTACAAAAAAAGACGCTGTGTCAGAAAATAAGGAAAGATTGCCCTGCCAGCCTCACACCCAGGGTGCGATGAGTCGGCAATTGAGACTGGGCATGGCAGTGCAGACCTGTAATCCCAGCTCTTGGGAGGCTGTAAACAGGAATATCACTACGAGTCTGATCTAGTAGTGAGACCCTGAACACCCTGTAGACCCTTCCCTAAAATACAAAAAAAAAAGAGAGAGAGAAGAAAGAAAATAAGGAAAGAGAGCTGGGGGAGGGTAATCTCTTGATATGTTGTTCAGGATGGCCCTAAACTCCTGGGCTCATCCAATTCTCCCTGCTTAGCCTCCCATATTTTAGCGGCAACTACAGGTGTGATGTGCCCCTCAGAGCTGCACCTTCCATTCTCCGATTGTTCCTATAGAAAAGCTTTACTAGCACTGATGACACCAAAGAAATACCACAAAGCGAATACCGACTACCATGGGGTAGGGGCAGACTAGAGTGAGGGTTCCCTATACTGTATACCTTTGAACATATTTTGCTTTTACCAAAAAATTATTAACTATTCAAAAGTTCCAACCACAAACAGTAGGCACAAAGAATTAATATTTAAAGATGGTATTCAACTTTGAATTAGTATTCAAAGATAGACTTAGGCATCTCTTTTCTACAAATTCCAGCACTGGTTTATAATTTCAAGATGAAAAAATTGAGAACAACAACAACAAAAAAGCAAGAATTAAGTGAACCAGAGAGTCTACGGAGCCAACAAAGGAACGAGGAGAACGTGCCTCAACGTGCAATGGCAGTGGGGGTCTGGCTCCACTGCTTTCCTGGTCTCCCTCCCCTGGTGAGAAAATCTACTTCCCCCCAAAAGCTGTACTCTGTGCCTTTAAGAGGCTATAGCTGCTGGAGATATAGCTCAGTCTCAAGCATGTGTTGAGGCCCTAGGTTCAATCTCCCGCACTGTAAAAAAAAAAAAAAAAAAAAAAAAAAGGCATAGCTTGTTAGAAAAACTCATAATGATTCAAAATTATTCATGCAAGCCCACTCAGGTTGACTCAGACTGAAACATGAGTAAGGCTATAGCTCATCCAGGGACAACTCTGCCAATCAGGAAACACTGATGACCACTAGTTAAAGCCAGGCAACGCTGGATATCTAAAGAAACAGACTATCCTTAATATAGAATTCACCAGCAAAATGTGTTTGCGTCCAACATCGTATGTAGAGGAATACAGTTATAACACTTACCCTGAAGCCGAAGTCTAGCTGTGTCCAAGGGAAAAAACACTGTCATTGCAGTCACACTTCCCTGCAAAGTTTGGAAAAGGCTTTAGCCATTACAATATCACAAACAAAATGAGACACGACTTTTAAATGAATAAGAGGTCATTATTCTAATTGGTTGAGTCAGCTTTTCAGTGAACAAATACATAAAATATTTTAATCTAGCAGAACCATTATCATGCAAATTTCTATCATTATATTCTTAAACAGAGGAATTTAATTTTCCAGAACTCTCTTCTCTATCTCTCCGATATTGAAAAGGAATGTAGTAACTTTACGCATGACAACAGCGATCTCCAACCTTGGACACACGTGATAGCACACAAGACAGCAGCTAAATGAAATTTTAACTTCTTACAGGTTAGTTGCAGCTACCATGCCCATGCTCTGATAGTTCCAAACCAAAACCTTCACTAAATAAACAGATTGGTATTCTATTTTCTGTGCTTAGTATGGTCACTACAAAGTGAAAGGGCACATAAGAACCACACTGTTTGTATCTGAGCGTGGTGGTACATGCCTGTAATCCCAGCATGGGGGAGGTTGTGGCAGGAGGACTGTTGTGTGTTTGAGGCCAGCCTGGGCTTCAAAGTGAGTTCAAGAGCAGCCTGAACTGCATAGTGAAACTGTCTCAAAAAGATAGGAACAGACCTGGGAGATGCCTCAGTGGAATAAGCACTTCCCTGGCAAGCGCAAGGACCTGAGTTCAATCCCCGGTTCCGCATAAAAATAAATAAAATA